AACTGAAAAGTCTCTGCTCTACTCAGATAGATTGCAACGAATTGCAATAGGGAAGTATACACTGTCCTCTACTTGATAAGTTTAACTTAATGCCTGCAGTTTCTGTAATCTTAAAAGACGGATTCTGTCTACTATATTTTTCAATTGTAGGGCTATGCATGGGAAATAACAACGGTTGAAGGCGGATATGGTTTAAATGAGCTATTAAGCAGTCGAAGGATTGTTCTAAATGGTAAGTGTTCTCAACTTTGTAAATAGAATTTGGCCATCATGTCATCTGGTTTCGCAAATCCGGAAGCTTTTAGGCCGTGCAGGTACAAATGTAGTCCAGGTCTTATCTTTGTCTTGGATGAAATTAGATGTTTAACTGGATATTTCTTAAACATTTGATGATGATCAGGAATTGTGAATGGCATTGATGTTTCTGAATGGGATCCATCTTCAGATAAGCATATTGGATTCCATTATTCTGCTGATGATCTCTCTGGGAAGGTAATTACTCTCATGCTTCTAGTCTTGGCCATTCACAATCGAAAAAACTGGAAATTCTGAATAATTCTTGTCCTAATCTATTGTTAACTTCAGGCTCAATGCAAGACCGCTCTTCAAAAGGAATTAGGTCTTCCAATTAGGCCTGAATGTCCCTTGGTAAGATTTCACTTTCTGTTAGATTCTTCTTTGTAGTAAAAAAAGAAAAAACATGCTTTCATTAATTTCTCATGAAGTTGGTATATACAGATTGGATTCATAGGGAGATTGGACTACCAGAAAGGAATTGACCTGATCCGTTGGGGGATTCCCGAGCTTATGGAAGATGATGTACAATTTGTGAGTTTCGCATTTACTTAATAACCTTGATACATTCAAGTTTTCATTACTTGATCCACCGGGGGATCTCTGCAATGATTGGAATATGGACTGCAAATCTAGTAGTTGTGGGGACTTGATAATCGGGTGCATTGTGACAATGTCATTTAACAAGCAAAGTTTTAGTGCTATCTCGTGTCCTATCTAGTCCAGATATCATGTTGTTTAATTATTCGACTTTCAACTTAAAAGGTGAACTAAGCTTTTGAACTTCCTTTAGGTAATGCTTGGCTCTGGGGACCCTCTGTATGAAGACTGGATGAGAACAGCAGAGACAACTTACAGAGATAAATTCCGCGGTTGGGTCGGATTTAACGTTCCGATTTCTCATCGGATCACTGCAGGGTAATTGAACATTTTATTGATAACATGTTAGATGAGAACCAAGATAACCATTAACACACCATTTTTTCCTGGAACGAGCAGCTGCGACATACTGTTGATGCCTTCAAGATATGAACCTTGCGGATTAAATCAATTGTATGCAATGAGATATGGTACTGTACCAGTAGTCCATGCCACAGGAGGACTTAGAGTGAGTTAAAAACAATATCAAGATTCCGTTTTTATCCGATTTAGGTTGCATTACATGCCTCTTAACTTATTCTTCAGGACACGGTAGAGAATTTCAGTCCGTATGCTGGGGATGGTAACAGTGAAGGCACGGGGTATGAAACGTTCCGTGGCCGTTTTCTCCATCCGAAAATTCAGTTTCAAGGGCTTCCCGTAGATTTTGTGCATGCTTTATATAGACAAAAGGATGAAACTGTTCTTTATGTGTTCTTCTGCACGTAGTTTGTCTTAAAATGGTTGTGAAATATGCTGCAGGTGGACCTTTTCTCCCCTTGCAAAAGATCGTATGCTCGAGGTATATTAATGTTATGCATATGCTTTATCGCGAAACTATATAGGATTAAATTTTCATTTATTTTCCCGTCGTCGAGACTTTGTTTTATCCGAAACCGACTGCTTTAAGCCTTTTCATTAACTTCATATTGCAGTGGTGGGTACTGGCTATGTCATTTATCAGCTACTGTAGTCGATCTGAACCCATAATGTTTACTTCCATAGTCGACTTTCGTAATCGGAAAGTTTCATCTTACTGCAGGCGTTAAGGACAGCTATAATGTCCTACAGAGATCACAAGTCAATATGGGAAGCATTGATGAGAAGAGGTATGCTAAGAGACTCCACTTGGGAAACTGCTGCCATTCAATATGAGCAGGTTTTCGAATGGGCTTGCATCGATCCTCCGTATATTCCATGATCGGGAAAACCGGAAAACGGAATGTCCGAATCACAAAAAATGGGGGGGGGGGGAACCTTAAATGGTCCCAGAATTCGTTGAATAACCGAGCTCTGGATGGACATGTTTATGGTGAACCAGTGGGAAAACTGAAGGGTTCAGCTTCTCAAATTTGGCCTTGAGCTTCCATTGAGATGTTGCATTAGTTTTCTTTGTTTTAGAGTATAATTTAGCTTTGCAGATGCATGTTTTTTTGGTTAGGTGTAATACCTATGAACAGAATACTACAGAATCTACCTAATACTCCACTTTTGAAATAAATTAAACTTTGTTTGGTCTTTATTGGGTAGGACACAAGCAACTAGAGTTTTTTTCCTTCTGTAAATCACACCGATATTTGATCTATTAGCTGACTAATTTAGATTGGGTAATATAGAAGCTCATTACGAGAGCGATTATCTCAATCTAATTTACTCCATTTATAACGTCAAGATTTGAACTTTTGACTCTGTTTAAAAAATCTAGTGTTTATTCTACTAGATCAATTGATTGTTGATCAAGCAACTAGACTCATTGAAGCAGTTAGAGTTTTGATATTTATAAAATAATTATGAAATTAAATGATAAAATATAAAATTATTAAGTTTAATTATTTAATTAATTGTATATAAATATTTGATTTTATTGTGATTATAAAAGTTAAAAAAATTATTAAGTCAATTTATTCAGTTAAAAAAATATTTGATCAGTTAATTTAATCTTAACAATAAAACCAAATGGATTTTGATTTTAACAGAAAAATCAGTTGAATAAAAGAAGCAGCTTCCTTTGATAAAGAAAGTTTCTTCCAACCCAACAATCACGGCACGTATCATTATTTCACAAATCTAAAGATCGGAATCAACTAATGCCACCATGCTCCACGATTTCAAACATGCAAAAAGCCCCTTTTCACGTTCAACCCAATTAAAAAAAATGATTTTTTTCTTAACGATTAAAAGAATAATTGTTATTATTAGTTCTAACTCTTGAATTCGAACATGTTGTCGATAAAGATATTTAAACGTTCATTATCGAATGGTTAAAATCATTTCGAACAAATACTACTTCAAATCTCACTCAATAACCCATTTAACATATGAGATGAATTTCATTCAACAAATTAGTCACTGTTTAGAATAGGCTAAAAACTGAAGCATGGAATCCAGCATCGCTTGCCTTCGAAGAAGTTGTGTGATACTGGGAGAGCTTCAGTGCCCAAATATGCAGGAGGGGTATATATTTTTTATTAACGACATGTGTTATATTTTTAAAGTAAATATCGAATTCAAACTCATACAAAATTAGACAACATAAATATTCTTAACAATTTGATCAGTTAATAAATCTCGACATCTTTAATTATTCTATCAATTAGTGGACCTCAATACTGATGGGGTATCTCGGCAACAAACACTCACTTTACAAAGGGATATATAATATAGTTGGTTCCAAACAATAATAATAATAATAAATAAAACCTTTTTTTTTAACTAACATTTTTTAGTTCTTTCAAAGATGTATTTTAAGCTAAGCTTGAATGACATGTCATATAATATTAAAGTGTCACATCATTAAAATGATACAAATTTAAATTTATAAATCAATTTGGAATAAAAAACAAAATATCAAATTGAAAAAAAAATATCAAATACTTTATCCAAAAATGGATATGATAGTTGAAATGTTAAATCAGGAAGAACTCTGCATCAGTTCCTCCGCAAGAGGTGGGCAAAAGAGAGGAATGGGGTCCCTCGGCTTCCAAGAAAAAGAAGCAAGGGAACCAAAATATATATCTTCAAATTAATATATTCAGGATATATTATATTCTATTCTATTCGGTTCGATTCGATTCGATTTTTTTATTTATAAATTCAGTGTTGGGTTCGATTTTATCAGAATACCATGATGAACCTAAAACAAAGAACTTTGTTTCAAGCAATGGAGTCAAATACCAAAAGACAAACCCAAGGATACAACAAAAGAGTTTGGTCAGTAAATTATCTGTATCAGATAGAGATCTGTTGTGAACAAATAGACAAGTTTTCTAATCAAATGGTTACTGCGTATCTGTCAGAATTCTCCAAGATCCCACATCAAAACAGGATTAAGCTTTTAATTAAATAATGCATTGCAAATGCAGTCGGTCCATGACATGTTATGTGAATCTAGGGTCACAAATTTCATGTTTGACTCTAAAATGAAGCTGACAATCATGGTAGCCATGAATTCCCACGTCTGATACACGAATCAATTTCGAGGTATAAGTATTCACATTATCGTCATGACGTGTATTTTTACGGATAAAAGGATCGAAGCGGACGATTCCTTGTACGTCGTAACAGCATCGGGTTCGAAGGTTATATAAATGGTACCTGAAAGTTTAGCTGGACATCAAGAGGAAAGACAAGTCCAATCGTCTCTGAAGATTTAACGGAAAACGCTGCTGAAATACTGATGTCTCGAGAAACATCGAATTCTGATGAAATTCCTATGCAGCAAAGCTTGTTGTTCTCTGAAAGTCTCAAGGTACTGTTAGTGCTTGCATTTTTACATTCCTAATCAATCATTCTCCTTGTAGTATTCACGTTCGACGTATATCCGAAACGAGTGCGAGAAAATGGTACTCGAAATCCGGCATTCACACCCGAGTTTTCCGACCATTACTTTATTTCAGGACTTGAAAAATCTGAGAACACAGCTCTACTCAGCAGCTGAGTATTTTGAGGTAACCTACAGCAATGATGATCAAAAGCAACTGTGAGTTCCAATCGGAGTTTTGTATTTGCATTTACTTTTGTTCATCACATTGTTTAATTACTAAGATTTTCATATATGTGCAGGGTGGTCCAAACATTGAAAGACTATACCATCAAAGCTCTTGTGAACACAATAGATCATTTGGGATCAATGACACTCAAGGTTAACGATCTTGTGCACGAAAAAGTCGAGGCGACATCCGGAACGGAGCTCCGGGTATCTTGCATCGAACAGGTAATAAGATGGGATTATTTTCAGCACTTAGTGAAATAGTATATGTTACTAGGACTCGGGTTTGAGTTCAAATGCGGTATTATAGAGACTACAGACATGCCGAGACTATATCGACCTTGAAGGGATTTGCCAACAGTCACTAGTCGTTAACACACCGAAGTACCATAAACGGTACATCTTGCCAGGCAAACTACTCTTCTCTGTTACTCGTAATCGTCATCCTTCCCCCCCCCCCCCCCCACATTTTTAGCAATTATTAAGTCTTTTATTGAAATTTTCAGTTGGGGAAACGATTAACAGTGTTAACCGAACGAAGTCGAAATTAGTAGGATGTGGCCTAGATGATGAAGATGACTGGCATCAGTTAAGGAATGGTAGTTGATCACTCTATCCTTGTGTCGATTCTTATAAATTGGATTCGGACAAGGTTCTAATGTAGCTTCCTACTTGTAATGGTTCCTTCTAAGCTGTCAGCGCTACGATTCAAGAATCCCAGACATCTTCGGTCGCAGAAACCGGAATGTCGATCGGGTAAAGGCTAACAAACGTTACATTTCTAGTGCAATGCATTAGTAAATCATAGCTACTTAATCCGTTACTTGTTCTATTGACAGCTGCAGAAAAGTGCGTTCTCCGTCACCTTCACCGCGGCCTCCACAACCATCCCCAGTCTTTTCGTTTACGAACACCATGCCGAAGAAAGAACAAGGTCCGGATACTTTTTTCCCCCTTTTACTTCATAAGTTATGAACTCTTTGATGAAGTTTACATTCATGATCAGAGAAGCGAACAGAATCGCCACATCGGTTTCCGCTTTTACGATCTGGATCAGTTAGCAGGCCCACAACCCCAAATAAGAGCCGATCGACTACTCCGATTTCAGCCAGTGCAATGCAGCGGGTGAGCATATAAGAATTAACTAACCTGTCAATGAAGCATTGCTCAAGTCATGCAGTGCCAACTCTGCTTATAAGTTATACTATGTTCTCCCTTATATATATATATATATATATATATATATATATATATATATATATATATATATATATATATATATATATATTCTAATATGAGTTTGATTTTTGCTGTTAGTATCCATCAGAGCCTCGAAAATCAGCTTCGATGCGTCTTCAATCGGAAAAAGATATCCCCAAAGACATCGATCAGTCTCCCGGAAAAAGTAAGAGACTTCTCAAAGCATTGCTTAGTCGTCGGAAATCAAAGAAAGATGAGATGCTATATACTTATTTGGATGAATATTGAGAAAAGAGAACTTCCAAACGACTCCGTCGATAAGAGCACTTGGGAGGGGTTTTTACATAACTGACACCGTTTGATTTTAATTTTACTTTTCTGACACCGTTTGATCAATATTTCCAGAACTAGCACCCTTTCTGCTGAGTTGGCAAAGGCGCGTCCCCGGGGGCGCGCTTTACCCGTATTTTTCGCTGAGTTGGATGCCACGTGTGAAAGGCGCGTCCCCGGGGACGCGCCTTTGCCAACTCAGCAGACACGTATTTTGTTTTATAATAAATAGTTTATTTTTATTATTATTATAAATTAATAATATATTATGTAAAATGTTTCTATTATAATGTAAGAATTATCAAGTTTCGAGTATTTTTTATTTTGATTATCGATCTATTAATTTTATCAGTTAATTATTTAAATGTTATCAATCTAGTCATATTTAACGAAAATATTGATGCATAAGTTAATAATTAGTATGATTACATATTTAATCATCAAGACTTACATATTTTATAAAATTAGTCTTATTGAAAATTTAATTTAATAAATTTAAAAGTTATAACGAAAAAATTATAACTAATAATATTAAATATTATATTAAATAATTATATTAAATATATTTATGTATTTAAAAGTTAAAAAAATTTATTTAGGTGTACATACATTGACAAATTATATAAATGCAATAACATTAAATTATTAGAAATAAAAACATTCATTTAAAAACTTTAATTACATAAGAGTTAACGGTTATATGATGATACAGAGCTGGACATTTTTTCTATTGTGCCCGATGTTTCTACAATGCCCACATCGTTTTGTTCTGTTGACTTCTCCCGAATATCCATATCACAATGTATTCTAGTAGATTTTGGACGACCTGAGTCCCTCAATAGCAATGGATCTGGTACAATTGTAAGCCAAGTTTGAATCTCATTTGGGTCTCTTTCGTTTCCTATGGGCGGAAACTCAAATTCATATACCTTGAAAACTTGTGAAAGTTGGTATACGGGATCAACATAATTTTTGTAGTCCAAATGCGAATGTGAGCAAGCAGCAATGACATGAGAGCATGGATATTTGAGTGCTTGAAAGAAACCACAATCGCACCACCTCTCTTGCAGATTAACTCTGAAAGAGTTAGCTTCAATCCCTTGCAGCGGACGTGGCATTTCGGTTACACGAAACAATTCACGGGTGCGAGAAAAATTTGTAACTAACATCCCATTTGATGTAGCCACTTTTTTCTGTAAATCGGCTACTAGTCTTGGGTGGTAAATATGTCCGTTTTGCATCCAAGTAAGAGCTTGTCCACCGAGTTTTGCAAAGAGTTGACCCAAACGAAAATAAGTCGTTTTGACCAACGCCGTGACTGGTAAATGATGCGCCCCCTTTAAGGTTGAATTTATTGCTTCAGCCAAGTTTGTTGTCATATGACCATAGCGATACCCCCCCGTCATATGCATTTGTCCACATTTCTTTGCTGATGTCCATAATGTACTCGCACCCCTTCTTATTTTTGCCAAACAGCTCTTGTAGCATCGACTCAAACCTTTGAGGTAAGAGTTCGTAACCTAAGCCATTAGGAATATGTAATAGTTAATATGAAGTATAAATAAGTAATAAGAAATTGATAGAAAAATTGGGAAAAAGTAACATACCCATCCGCACGACTAACTGACGTTCATCGTTCTTCTTGTATTTTCCGTAATAGTTTGCAGCAATATGACGGACACAATAACGATGTTGAACATGTGGAGGTCTATACATTGTACCCAAAGAGTCCATTGCTGCTTTTATCCCGGCTCCTCGGTCTGAAATAATGCATAGTCGTTCCCTGGTGACAACATGTAAACGTAAATTTTTAAGGAAAAAAGCCCAAGACTCAGTGTCTTCTCCTTGAACGAGGGCAAACGCAACAGGAAGAATATTGCGGTTTCCATCTTGGACCACAACCAATAATAAAACTTGCTTGTATTTCCCATACAAGAAAGTACCATCAATTTGGACAATTGGTTTACAGTACTTGACTGCATTAATACACTGAGGGTAAGTCCAAAAGACTCGGTAAAATTGGCAGTGATCGCGAACCATTCGATCATTCACGTAATGATGTTGAGTTTCGAACTCAACAATTGTCCCGGGATTAAGTCTTTGCACAACATGAAACCAACTGGGCAGCTCGTTGTAAGAGGAATCCCATTCGCCATGAAGTTTGCAAATGGCATTCTGTTTTGCCAACCACGCTTTTTTATATGAGACAGTGTACCCATATTGTGATTGTATAGCAGAAATCAACACTGCAACAGCTATATGAGAGCTTTGCTTCACAATGGGCATGATTGCTTGACAAATAATGTTGGAGTCCAAGTTTGGATGATCCTGGTTTATACCTGTTGCACAACATGTATGAGGACCGTTGTATCTGGTTAGTTCCCATAAGTTGTTCTTCCTCTTCCTCTTTGATACACGGACCATCCATTGACATCCGTTGTGACGTTGGACGCAGTAACAAACATATTTCTCCGTGTTAGATCGATCAACTCGAGACTGAACTGAGTTACGAATATTGTAACTCTTTATTGCCATCATTGCTTCCTCCTTCGATGCGAACTCCATTCCAATATGTAAATTACCGTCATTGACTGATGATTGAAGTCCATAGTTGCCAACATCAGGAAGATCTGGAAATTCAGGCTCATACATTGCATCGTAATCAGCCTCATACATATGTGCAGGAAGTTCAGCTGGTGTTGTATTTATCGGAACGTCATCCTCGTCATCATCAGAATGTACGTTAAACTGTGGTGAGTCAGGTTCAACGAATAATCCCGTTTCAACACCATCTGCACCTGGCTCCCGAAGAGGTTCTTCTGGTGGAGATGAGGGTTCCTCCGATAATCCAATGTTGAGGTCAAATAAGTTCCCGCTTGCGTGTCCTCCCCTTGAACTTGAGGCCATTGTATCATGTGGGATGTGAATAGACTGTCGTCTCGATGGCATTTCCATATGTAAGTCGAAAACATTGGCAGATGAATGTTTGCCCCTTGAAGTAGAAGAGATGTTGCCATATGGATTATTGGTGAAGCCACGTGGGTTGAGATCATAAGCAGTTGCAGATGAATGCCTTCCTATTGAACTTGATGGCATGGTATATGGCGTTGGATCCGCCATTAATGATGTGAAATCATTACAGATAAGTTGTGTCGGGCTATCAACTTGATCAGTTTGATATGCAATGCCAAAGTGAGAGGAATATGAGAGACCACGAGTTACACGAACCTCAATAAAAGTGGCATACATTTCAATAAGAGATTGTGAACTCCCCATATGAGCATCAACCATCATAGAAACATCATCATCGTTTGAAAGCTGAAATGATGTATACGTGAGCGGAAAAAGTTCAGTAGGAAATCTGTATTGAAGTGAAGATAGTCTTCTCTGGCCTGCTACACGAATCTTTAACGAAATTTTTGTGATTAACTCCTCAATTGTGATGTTTCTCTTCAAGGTTAAGGGGATATAATGATCTGACTCAAAAACAACCCCCTCTTCAGCTTCCTTAATTTCTCCATCATACAAAACAACAGCAGAAAGACGACTCATTTTCAGAGAATTTGAGAATTTAGAGTTTGGGAATTTGAGAATTTGAAAGATTGTGAACTGAAGTTTGTTTTGAAAGTTTATAATACGTTGCATATAATAGTTTCTATAATCGGTTCACTATTCACGTGAAGGCGCGTTCCCGGGGCGCGCCTTCCATTATTTCGTCAGAGAATATTATCATTGCCCTATTATGTCATTCATGTCCCTCGGGGACACTAGATATATCAGTACCTATTATTTCACTATTCACGTGAAGGCGCGTTCCCGGGGGCGCGCCTTCCATTATTTCGTCAGAGAATATTATCATTGCCCTATTATGTCATTCATGTCCCTCGGGGACACTAGATATATCAGTACCTATTATTTCACTATTCACGTGAAGGCGCGTTCCCGGGGCGCGCCTTCCATTATTCGTCAGAGAATATTATCATTGCCCTATTATGTCATTCATGTCCCTCGGGGACACTAGATATATCAGTACCTATTATTTCACTATTCACGTGAAGGCGCGTTCCCGGGGGCGCGCCTTCCATTATTTCGTCAGAGAATATTATCATTGCCCTATTATGTCATTCATGTCCCTCGGGGACACTAGATATATCAGTACCTATTATTTCACTATTCACGTGAAGGCGCGTTCCCGGGGGCGCGCCTTCCATTATTTCGTCAGAGAATATTATCATTGCCCTATTATGTCATTCATGTCCCTCGGGACACTAGATATCAGTACCTATTATTTCACTATTCACGTGAAGGCGCGTTCCCGGGGGCGCGCCTTCCATTATTTCGTCAGAGAATATTATCATTGCCCTATTATGTCATTCATGTCCCTCGGGACACTAGATATATCAGTACCTATTATTTCACTATTCACGTGAAGGCGCGTTCCCGGGGGCGCGCCTTCCATTATTTCGTCAGAGAATATTATCATTGCCCTATTATGTCCCTCATGTCCCTCGGGGAATAACTTAAATTTAACTTCTTTTGAATGTTCAACAAGTTAAGAATAACTTAAATTAAAACGTTATGTGAAATTTGAATAAATTAGATAAAATGTTATTGATAAATTGAATAAATGTGAAGTGATAAGTTGATTGTGACATTGAAATTGTATGGAATGAGCATTGAAATGTGACATTGAATAAATTGCCAATTCACCCCCCTCTTGGTTGATTCCGTCGATCGATGAACTCAACATAAGTTGATTTTAATGTATACGTTTTAATATATATGTTAATGATAAAATCATATGTATGGATAAATTTAATTTCAATTTAAGTATTGTGAACTATAATTGGAATATAACTTTTAATTTCGAATACAATTGGAATATTAAGTTGAAATTTAATGTTAAATTTCGAATACTATAATTTATATTTTAAATTTAAATTTGAATAATATTATTTTTATTTTTATTTTAAATTTCGAATAATATAATTTGTATTTTAAAACATTTATCAAACATTTAATGTTAAATGTGAATAAAAAATAACATTAAAAAATATGTATGTCACAACCATGAAACATTTAAATAACATAACCAAATTACATAAAATTCTGAAATTTAATTATTTAAATAACATTAAATATAACTGGATCACCGATGTCGTCGTCTCGAATGAGTTCCACATGGCGGTGGTTGCCTATTTCATGGAGGATTTCTTCGTGGAACTTGTTCTTCAGTCTCCTCATCTTCACTATCATCATCAGCAGCATTTTCTTCATTTGGTGTAGATGACGCTGAAGGGGCTGAAGGGCCTGTATAAAATAACGACCCTGGAGGAGTGCTAGTAACAATCCCACCGCTCCCCGGGAACTGTGGAAACTGTGGAAACATTGGCATCGATGTATGTGATCCAGATGAAGATTGAGGTGTCTGCGGAGAAGCACCACCAGCCAAATAAGATGCATATGAAGCATATGTTGGATCATTAAGCATAGTCGTATATGCACCTCCATATGGTATAAAACCCTGCGGGCTAGGCATGTAACCTGGCGGGCTAGGCATGTAACCTGGCGGGCTAGGAATGTAACCCTGCGGGCTCGGAATGTAACCCTGCGGAGATGGCATATAAACTGGTGGGCTTGGCATATGAAGTGGAGGGCTGGGCATGTACCCCTGCGGCATCGCGAATAAGGATGTTGTGGTGGGACTGATGCAGAACCGGTAGCGCCTTCTCTCCGTCCACGCGTCGGGGGACGATGATATTGAGACGGTTGACGTCTTTCTCGGCGCCTAGGAATGTTAACCCCTCGTGCTTCCGCCGAAAGTAGAAACGGCTTCCCATTTTCATTAAACCAGTCCATATAGTTATCCGTAACCATATGACCAGTTTCAGCGTAATATTGTCGAGGGGCCAACAGTGTATATCGGTTCTCCCAAAGCGCAATCCAATCTCTGTGTCTCACCACCCAGTTAACATCTTTCTTTCCCCGTCTATCTATGTTATGCACGTCGTCTAAATTTCTAGGAGCTCCAGGAATATATTGCGTACAACCATACTGACGGAGCACGCGATCAACTGGATGCCACTCAATAATAGCATAACATATAAGAGGTATAATCGATATCCATACCTCTAATGACCCACTAAGGTGGGGTGGGATGCAAGCTTTCACTTCATCGCTCGCATAAGGTATCCACTGAAACTGAAATATAAATATACAATTCAAATAAATAAAATATTCTAATTATATCTAACATTTTAAATTAAAATATTAATAATTAAACAAATTTAAAAAACATACCTCAGACCCAGCTTTCGTATCAATAAGTAAACGAATTTACTCTAAAACAGTAGGTATACTTTTATGGTCCTTTCTTTTCATCGACCACCTATGAAATATAATATAAAACTAAATATCACCCTATTTAATTGAAAATATTTAAATCAAAATTTAGTTCGAAAATTACCTCAACAATAAGGGGAATACGTATGGTTCATTCACGATCGGGCATAAGAAAGGCATGCGGAACCACGCCCATGATTGTAGAAGCAGAAGACATCCACCGATAGCAGTTTTCTTATAATTCGTCGCCCGATACATTTCTCTAAAGAGAAATGCCAAAACTGCAGCACCCCAACTATATCTTCCAGCTTCATCAAAATCGATCAAATGCCGCAACCACATACAATGCACCTGGTTGCGAGATTTGTCGGGCATCAATATTCCTCCAATTATTCGTAGAATATATGCCCGAGCACATGCCTTTGCTTGATCCTCTGAAGCATTTTCATTTAAAACCTCAAAATTAGCTTTCAACCAAGATAAAACTATTCTACCTCCATTAAACTCTGACGGAGCAGCTCCAAGATAATCAATGCACATTGATTGCCAATCACCATCCGCCATACCACACATCATATTTCCGTCGACGGGAAGCCCCAGATGCATAGAGACATCCTCCAATGTAATTGTTGCCTCTCCACATGGAAGGTGAAAAGTGTGTCTCGGGCCTCCACCTCTCAATCAGTGCAGAAATTAGGACAGGTTCGAGTTTGCAACCGCCTATAATTGTTGCAATATACCCGAACCCAGCAGAAGCCAAATATGGCAAAATACGTTCCGGTGTCGGTATACGTGGATTTTTAATAAAAGTTTCTAAAATACGATCAGCATCCTAAATAATATATATTATAAAAAGTAAAAATTAATATAAATTCATAATAACTTTAAAATAAAAATAAATTTAAATATTAACATTAATTATAAAAATATTACCATATCGCTAAAATGTCTGGAGATATGATCAATATCCAATCGCAACAGCATTTCGTTTTCCATTATAACTGTAGACAAAACAATATAATTAGCAAAAAAATTAATAATTCTAAATAAATAATAATTATAAATATTATTTAAATAAAAAAATAATATTTACATAAATATATTAATATAAAAAAATAACTATTTAAAAAATACTAACATAAAAATAAATTTCTTACCACTAATAACAAATTTAAAACTCAAATAGTTGGAGAATTTGAGTTATATAAGAGAGGAGAAGATGATTTTGGTGTGAAGAATGAGTGAGGGTTGAGGGGGTTTATATAGGGGAGGAGGAGGGGTAGTTAGGAAAAACGGATGGGGGCATTTATGACATTTAATGGAAGGCGCGTCCCCGGGGATGCGCCTTCCACACGTGTCTGCTGATATGGCAAAGGCGCGTCCCCGGGGACGCGCCTTTCACACGTGGCATCCAACTCAGCGAAAACACGGGTAAATCGCGTCCCCGGGGACGCGCCTTTGCCAACTCAGCAGAAAGGGTGCTAGTTTTGGAAATATTGGTCGAACGGTGTTAGAAAAGTAAAATTAAAAACAAACAGTGTTAACCGAACGAAGTCGAAATTAGTAGGATGTGGCCTAGATGATGAAGATGACTGGCATCAGTTAAGGAATGGTAGTTGATCACTCTATCCTTGTGTCGATTCTTATAAATTGGATTCGGACAAGGTTCTAATGTAGCTTCCTACTTGTAATGGTTCCTTCTAAGCTGTCCGCGCTACGATTCAAGAATCCCAGACATCTTCGGTCGCAGAAACCGGAATGTCGATCGGGTAAAGGCTAACAAACGTTACATTTCTAGTGCAATGCATTAGTAAATCATAGCTACTTAATCCGTTACTTGTTCTATTGACAGCTGCAGAAAAGTGCGTTCTCCGTCACCTTCACCGCGGCCTCCACAACCATCCCCAGTCTTTTCGTTTACGAACACCATGCCGAAGAAAGAACAAGGTCCGGATACTTTTTTCCCCCTTTTACTTCATAAGTTATGAACTCTTTGATGAAGTTTACATTCATGATCAGAGAAGCGAACAGAATCGCCACATCGGTTTCCGCTTTTACGATCTGGATCAGTTAGCAGGCCCACAACCCCAAATAAGAGCCGATCGACTACTCCGATTTCAGCCAGTGCAATGCAGCGGGTGAGCATATAAGAATTAACTAACCTGTCAATGAAGCATTGCTCAAGTCATGCAGTGCCAACTCTGCTTATAAGTTATACTATGTTCTCCCTTATATATATATATATATATATATTCTAATATGAGTTTGATTTTTGCTGTTAGTATCCATCAGAGCCTCGAAAATCAGCTTCGATGCGTCTTCAATCGGAAAAAGATATCCCCAAAGACATCGATCAGTCTCCCGGAAAAAGTAAGAGACTTCTCAAAGCATTGCTTAGTCGTCGGAAATCAAAGAAAGATGAGATGCTATATACTTATTTGGATGAATATTGAGAAAAGAGAACTTCCAAACGACTCCGTCGATAAGAGCACTTGGGAGTCATCAGCCTGTTATCCCCGGCAAGGATGGAGCTATAAATTTATAACCATCTTTAATATATTTTTATTATATATATTTGGTTTAGTTTTTCGAGTCGGTGTTGAGGACTAAAGTATTAAATAAAATTCGGGTGACAAGCAAAACCTGTTGGCATCTCTACTCACTGGTAAACTAGTAATTGAAAAAGAAAACTAGATGGACTTTTGAGAGTAAGAAGAAAATTACCAGCTGAATTCCCATTGGTTTTGAGTGTCATATAAGTCTGAGACGGCGGCCATGTGAGGACTTCACAATCGGAAGTTGAGAGAATCAATGCAAATTGGGTTAATGGAAGAAGTAAGCAGTTGATCAGGCCCAAAATTATAGTAATTATTAGGGATAACAATTCAGCCCAGTCAAACTTCTTTTTCTTCCTTTTTTTCCCCCACCGTTTTTAAATCTCGGTTTGATAAAATTATATACTATTTTTTTTTATTAATACGAGGGAATTAGAAGGTGTTCATAATCTTTCCACCTCTCAAATTTAAGATTTATTGAGAGAAGAAGATTCACTTAGTCGCTTAATCTATTTTAAATAAAATATAATATAATTAACCAATTTAATAAATTTGATTAAAGTGCATAAATAGTTATTCAATGAGAGACTTATTAATAATTATAAAACGATTCATTGATTATAAGGTTTATTATAGGCTATAAAATAATCACTCGATTATTCATATGTTTCGAACTCATATATATATATATATATATATTTTTTTGTTAATAATACCAATGAATTACTATGACAGCCCATTTGTGTGGTTTAAAAATGAAGTGTCAGAAGTGGGATTTGAACCCACGCCCTCTCACGAGGACCAGAACTTGAGTCTGGCGCCTTAGACCACTCGGCCATCCTGACTTCATTGACTTTTCCATTAATAGTTTAATTAAGTATTTTAATGAAGTTGCAAGCAATGTCAATCATACGCAGATGTACTTTCAAGTTTTGTAATTTTATAACTTGTATATGTTTTTAAACTTTTAAAATTTTAATAATATTTTTAATTTTTTCTTAGTAATTCTTATATTTATTTTTTTAATATTTATATATTTAAAATAATTTTCATTAAAAGAAATAAATAAACACTTGAATTTTTAAAAAAAAAATCAATTTAATTCTCAATTTTTGATAAAAAAAAATAATTTAGTCATTTTACCATATTATTATCTACAGACTTCCTCGCCCAGATAGGACAACAAAAAAAATTATTTTTCAGTGCCTTCAGAAGATTCCAGGAATACAATGAGACTTCAATTGAAAACTAGAGATTGCTATGCGTCCTGAACCTTCCCATTTATTTCAACTTTTCATGCTTATTCTTGAAATCTTCCGAACCTTCCCATGAAATACACTTTTCATGCTTATTCTTGAAGTCTTCTGAAGATTCATTACATTCTTGGAGACTTTTGAAATTACATGTCCTTGAAACTGTAGCCATCTTCCTAATCTAAGAAATAATGTTCACGATGGATTATCTTTAAAATTATTTTCCTCAATGGCATTATTTCAACCATTTTTGTCATATCTATCATAGAGTGCCACATCAATACATCGAACCATCACACCAACGTGATTCGCTACGTCAATATTGTAACAAATCAACATTTAGTTTTGTTAGTGAAAAGACGAATATATAAAAATGAAAGTTACATCGATTTTTTTTAGAAAAACAAATTGAATGCATGGTATTAGATACCATTAAGCCTTATGACTATACGATATGAATTACTAATGGGGTTTCCAAAGAATCCATAATGGCATCTCAGTTTCTACCCGCCGTCCTTTCACAACCACCCTATTAAACTGGAAAACACAAAGCAAACAAAAATTCAGTGCTTCTTCCCACTACAACTCCTTTCCCAATTTAATGGCAGCGTCCATTCTTCTCCCCACTCCTTTCAACACCCTCAGGTGTAAGTAATCTTTATCTTCACATCACTGCAACTATTTTCAAATTACAACTAAGGATTTCCCTTATCTGAAACTCTTATGGTTCGGACATTGCTTTGATTCTTAACTTTTCTTAAAGAACTCGTTTCTGATGCATACTTGGATATGATCCTTCGAGAGAAAGAGAGAGAAACCTGTATCAGACATTCAAGTCCAAATAACATAGGTGATGAAAACTTGGATTAGATCTTCACATTGTTCCGAGTTCATCACTAACCAGTCGAAGCCAGAAAACATTGACAATGTCTTGAAGTTTCTCTTTACAAAAACCATATTCCAACCACCTGCACTTAGCAAGTGACTCCTACGACGGCATTAACGAATTTGAGAGACAGCATCAAGAGTGGTTTAACTAAGTCAAAACGGAATGAGAAAGATGATGTGTACCTTCTTCAAGCAAATTATGAAGGCGGTAAAGAACAGATGAATGCTGGTGCTGAAGGCATGGAAGAAGCTGCTATTCTTGATGTTATCCGCCTTGGCTGTCGGAAAATTTTAGGTTGTACGGTCTCTGCTCGACGTGGTAACTTTATTTTCTCTGAACCTCCTGATAATGAAAAAAGTTAACGAACCCATCTGCGATATACCCGACACCAAGTAACATTGGCTTGCACTTCGAATTATATAGCTTTGGTAAAAGCATAGCCTTAATTTCAGGAACAAATAAGTAATAATTGAACAGGAAAAACCAAAGCAATTTCAAAACACAAATTTCATGAATGCATGATATTTGAGCAATTGACTCCTGACTTGTGCTAACAATTGAATCTTCTTTTTGGAAAAAGACAAGGAACAATGAAATGCTTGATGCAATGCTCCCAATAGCATGCAGTATATATGGTCAACCCCAGACCCCACCAAAACCGAAAGAAGACTTCAACCAGAATCCAGAACCAGAACCAGAACCCGGAGATTGAATAGCTATGGTGATGAGATGTCTTGAAATGCAGCAGCACTTTGAAACTGATCATTAATCATCTATATGTTAGATTTGTCTATAAATTAAGTTGACAAGTTGAAAATTTCATCTTGGTTGGTGGCCAACTTATTGGAAATTTCATCTTGGTTGGTGGCCAAACTTTGAACATGTGAATTTCATATTTGGTGGCTAACTTGTACACATTGGAAAATTCTTTGGTAGGTGGCCAAACTTTGAACATATTATTCTTGAAACTCAACTATAAATAGGCCTAAGTATTTCTATTAGAAATTATCCCAAAAATAAGTTCTCTCTTACTCTTGTATTCTTCATTCTCCCACTTTGGGAATTCCAAAGAATTCCATTTGTTGTAATATTGGCGATATAGTGAAGTTATCATCCGGTGTGGCGCCCGAGGAGTAGACGATATTCTCGTCGAACCTCGTAAATTTGGTGTGTTCTCTCCTTTAATATTTTTTATTCGGTTCTTTTCCATTGTGTTTCAATATTCAATAGTTTGACAGGTTTATCCGCTGTGCAACCTTTGGTGATTTTAATCTTGACATTTTAGGTCAATTTTAAAACTACGTTCGTGTGGGAAATAACCCGTTTTCCCCAACAATTGGTATCAGAGCTTCGGTTGAGGTTATCCTGGTGGTTCCGTTGCTGAAAAGATACAGTTCGTGATATTGAATATTGTTCGTTAGAATTAAAATGCCAAAATACGGATCAGTTGAGACATCAAGCTCTTCATCTGGACCGGTGAGGAGGGTGATGTCAAATGCAAATTTCTCGGTGGAGTTGTTCGATGGATCCGGTCATTTTGGCATGTGGCAAGGCGAGGTGTTAGACGCTTTATTCCAACAAGGTCTAGACATCGCCATTGAGGAAGAAAAGCCTGAATATATGGAGGAGAAAGAATGGGGAACAATCATTCATTTGGCGTGCAGCATGATTCGATCTTGTCTTTCCATGGAGCAGAAATATGGCTACAAGAACGAGACTTCTGCAAGTAAGATGTGGAAAGCTTTGGAGGAAAAATTCCTGAAGAAAAGCTCTCAGAATCGTCTCCACATGAAGAAAAGATTGTTCAGATTTGATTATCAACCAGGCACCAGTATGAATGAACACATCACTACGTTCAATGAGCTAGTGGAAGACTTATTGGGCATGTATGAAACCTTCAAAGTTTAAGATTTGGCTTTGATGTTGTTGTCATCTCTTCCAGATGAATTTGAGCACATTGAGACAACGTTACTTCATGGTAAGGATAATGTTACCCTTAAAGATGTAATGTAACTGCTGCTTTGTATAGTTATGAACTCAGGAAGAAAACCAAGAAGGAGAGCAAGTATGAAGCAGCGGAGGCCATGGTGGCAAGAGGTCGCTCGAAAAGTCAAAAGCCAAAGTGGAGAGGGAGATCAAAGTCGAAGTCCAGACTGGAAAAAGATGAATGTGTCTTTTGTCATGAGAAAGGCCATTGGAAGAAAGATTGTCCGAAGCTAAAGAAGAAAGGAAAAGTTGCTCCAGATGCATGTGGTGCAGAGCATAATGCACATGACTCTGACATATCATTGGTTGCTTCATCAACAACATTCCATTCCGATGAGTGGATATTAGATTCGGGTTGCACCTATCATATGTCCCCTAATCGGGAGTGGTTCTCCGATTTAGTGGAACTAAATGCAGGAGTTGTTTATATGGGCAATGTCAATGCTTGTAAAACTGTTGGGATATGTTCAATTCGATTGAAGAATCAAGATGGATCAACTAGAGTTCTGACGGATGTCCGATACGTGCCCAATTTGAAGAAAAATCTCATATCGTTGGGAGCCTTAGAATCCAAAGGCTCAGTAGTCACTATGAGAGATGGAGTTTTAAAAGTCACATATGGCGCACTTGTGATGATGAAGGGCATCAGGAAAAATAATTTGTATTACTACCAAGGTAGTATAATTATTGGAGCAGTTGCAGTAGCTTCTGGAGGTGATGATTTGGACGCAACCCAGTTGTGGCATATGCGGTTGGGACATACTGGAGAGAAATCCTTGCAAATTCTGGCAAAGAAAGGATTG